GTGGAGGTTGCAGGCGACACAGGACAGACACTCATGTGTGTTGTTACATCAGTACTTACTCTTGTCGGTGAGGTTGCAGGCGACACAGGACAGACACTCATGTGTGTTGTTACATCAGTACTTACTCTTGTCGGTGAGGTTGCAGGCCACACAGGACAGACACTCATGTGTGTTGTTACATCAGTACTTACTCTTGTCGGTGAGGTTGCAGGCGACACAGGACAGACACTCATGTGTGTTGTTACATCAGTACTTACTCTTGTCGGTGAGGTTGCAGGCCACGCAGGACAGACACTCATGTGTGTTGTTACATCAGTACTTACTCTTGTCGGTGAGGTTGCAGGACAGACACTCATGTGTGTTGTTACATCAGTACTTACTCTTGTCGTGGAGGTTGCAGGCGACACAGGACAGACACTCATGTGTGTTGTTACATCAGTACTTACTCTTGTCGTGGAGGTTGCAGGCGACACAGGACAGACACTCATGTGTGTTGTTACATCAGTATTTACTCTTGTCGGTGAGGTTGCAGGCGACACAGGACAGACACTCATGTGTGTTGTTACATCAGTACTTACTCTTGTCGGTGAGGTTGCAGGCGACGCAGGACAGACACTCATGTGTGTTGTTACATCAGTACTTACTCTTGTCGGTGAGGTTGCAGGCGACACAGGACAGACACTCATGTGTGTTGTTACATCAGTACTTACTCTTGTCGGTGAGGTTGCAGGACAGACACTCATGTGTGTTGTTACATCAGTACTTACTCTTGTCGGTGAGGTTGCAGGCCACACAGGACAGACACTCATGTGTGTTGTTACATCAGTACTTACTCTTGTCGGTGAGGTTGCAGGCCACGCAGGACAGACACTCATGTGTGTTGTTACATCAGTACTTACTCTTGTCGGTGAGGTTGCAGGCGACACAGGACAGACACTCATGTGTGTTGTTACATCAGTACTTACTCTTGTCGGTGAGGTTGCAGGCCACACAGGACAGACACTCATGTGTGTTGTTACATCAGTACTTACTCTTGTCGGTGAGGTTGCAGGCCACACAGGACAGACACTCATGTGTGTTGTTACATCAGTACTTACTCTTGTCGGTGAGGTTACAGGCGACACAGGACAGACACTCATGTGTGTTGTTACATCAGTACTTACTCTTGTCGGTGAGGTTGCAGGCGACACAGGACAGACACTCATGTGTGTTGTTACATCAGTACTTACTCTTGTCGGTGAGGTTGCAGGCCACACAGGACAGACACTCATGTGTGTTGTTACATCAGTACTTACTCTTGTCGGTGAGGTTGCAGGACAGACACTCATGTGTGTTGTTACATCAGTACTTACTCTTGTCGGTGAGGACGCAGGACAGACACTCATGTGTGTTGTTACATCAGTACTTACTCTTGTCGGTGAGGTTGCAGGCCACACAGGACAGACACTCATGTGTGTTGTTACATCAGTACTTACTCTTGTCGGTGAGGTTGCAGGACAGACACTCATGTGTGTTGTTACATCAGTACTTACTCTTGTCGGTGAGGTTGCAGGCCACACAGGACAGACACTCATGTGTGCTGTTACATCAGTACTTACTCTTGTCGGTGAGGTTGCAGGCCACGCAGGACAGACACTCATGTGTGCTGTTACATCAGTACTTACTTTTGTCGGTGAGGTTGCAGGCGACACAGGACAGACACTCATGTGTGTTGTTACATCAGTACTTACTTTTGTCGGTGAGGTTGCAGGCGACACAGGACAGACACTCATGTGTGTTGTTACATCAGTACTTACTTTTGTCGGTGAGGTTGCAGGCGACACAGGACAGACACTCATGTGTGTTGTTACATCAGTACTTACTCTTGTCGGTGAGGACGCAGGACAGACACTCATGTGTGTTGTTACATCAGTACTTACTCTTGTCGGTGAGGTTGCAGGCCACGCAGGAGAGACACTCATGTGTGTTGTTACATCAGTACTTACTCTTGTCGGTGAGGTTGCAGGACAGACACTCATGTGTGTTGTTACATCAGTACTTACTCTTGTCGGTGAGGTTGCAGGACAGACACTCATGTGTGTTGTTACATCAGTACTTACTCTTGTCGGTGAGGTTGCAGGACAGACACTCATGTGTGTTGTTACATCAGTACTTACTCTTGTCGGTGAGGACGCAGGACAGACACTCATGTGTGTTGTTACATCAGTACTTACTCTTGTCGGTGAGGTTGCAGGACAGACACTCATGTGTGTTGTTACATCAGTACTTACTCTTGTCGGTGAGGTTGCAGGACAGACACTCATGTGTGTTGTTACATCAGTACTTACTCTTGTCGGTGAGGTTGCAGGCCACACAGGACAGACACTCATGTGTGTTGTTACATCAGTACTTACTCTTGTCGGTGAGGTTGCAGGCGACACAGGACAGACACTCATGTGTGTTGTTACATCAGTACTTACTCTTGTCGGTGAGGACGCAGGCCACACAGGACAGACACTCATGTGTGTTGTTACATCAGTACTTACTCTTGTCGGTGAGGTTGCAGGACAGACACTCATGTGTGTTGTTACATCAGTACTTACTCTTGTCGGTGAGGTTGCAGGACAGACACTCATGTGTGTTGTTACATCAGTATTTACTCTTGTCGGTGAGGTTGCAGGCGACACAGGACAGACACTCATGTGTGTTGTTACATCAGTACTTACTCTTGTCGGTGAGGACGCAGGCGACACAGGACAGACACTCATGTGTGTTGTTACATCAGTACTTACTCTTGTCGGTGAGGTTGCAGGACAGACACTCATGTGTGTTGTTACATCAGTACTTACTCTTGTCGGTGAGGTTGCAGGACAGACACTCATGTGTGTTGTTACATCAGTATTTACTCTTGTCGGTGAGGTTGCAGGCCACGCAGGACAGACACTCATGTGTGTTGTTACATCAGTACTTACTCTTGTCGGTGAGGTTACAGGCGACACAGGACAGACACTCATGTGTGTTGTTACATCAGTACTTACTCTTGTCGGTGAGGTTGCAGGCGACACAGGACAGACACTCATGTGTGTTGTTACATCAGTACTTACTCTTGTCGGTGAGGTTGCAGGCCACGCAGGACAGACACTCATGTGTGTTGTTACATCAGTACTTACTCTTGTCGGTGAGGTTGCAGGACAGACACTCATGTGTGTTGTAACATCAGTACTTACTCTTGTCGGTGAGGACGCAGGACAGACACTCATGTGTGTTGTAACATCAGTACTTACTCTTGTCGGTGAGGTTGCAGGACAGACACTCATGTGTGTTGTTACATCAGTACTTACTCTTGTCGGTGAGGTTGCAGGCGACACAGGACAGACACTCATGTGTGTTGTTACATCAGTACTTACTCTTGTCGGTGAGGTTGCAGGACAGACACTCATGTGTGTTGTTACATCAGTACTTACTCTTGTCGGTGAGGTGGCAGGACAGACACTCATGTGTGTTGTTACATCAGTACTTACTCTTGTCGGTGAGGTTGCAGGCGACACAGGACAGACACTCATGTGTGTTGTTACATCAGTACTTACTCTTGTCGGTGAGGACGCAGGCCACACAGGACAGACACTCATGTGTGTTGTTACATCAGTACTTACTCTTGTCGGTGAGGTTGCAGGACAGACACTCATGTGTGTTGTAACATCAGTACTTACTCTTGTCGGTGAGGTTGCAGGCCACGCAGGACAGACACTCATGTGTGTTGTTACATCAGTACTTACTCTTGTCGGTGAGGTTGCAGGCCACGCAGGACAGACACTCATGTGTGTTGTTACATCAGTACTTACTCTTGTCGGTGAGGTTGCAGGACAGACACTCATGTGTGTTGTTACATCAGTACTTACTCTTGTCGGTGAGGTGGCAGGACAGACACTCATGTGTGTTGTTACATCAGTACTTACTCTTGTCGGTGAGGTTGCAGGACAGACACTCATGTGTGTTGTTACATCAGTACTTACTCTTGTCGGTGAGGTTGCAGGCGACACAGGACAGACACTCATGTGTGTTGTTACATCAGTACTTACTCTTGTCGGTGAGGTTGCAGGCCACGCAGGACAGACACTCATGTGTGTTGTTACATCAGTACTTACTCTTGTCGGTGAGGTTGCAGGACAGACACTCATGTGTGTTGTTACATCAGTACTTACTCTTGTCGGTGAGGTTGCAGGCGACACAGGACAGACACTCATGTGTGTTGTTACATCAGTACTTACTCTTGTCGGTGAGGTTGCAGGCGACGCAGGACAGACACTTGAGGTGGATGCAGGACAGGACGATGGTCTTGATACACTCGTCGTCCACTGTGCGGTTGAGGGACACACTCAGCACCTCCAGCTCCTTGCAGCTCCGTGCGATGTTCTCCAGGCAGCCCGAGCTGAGCTGTGTCATGTTGGAGATGTCCAGCATCCGGAGACGAGGAAGCTGCAGTGAGTGAGTGAGTGAGTGAGTGAGTGAGTGAGTGAGTGAGTGAGTGGGTGGGTGAGTGGGTGGGTGGGTGGGTGGGTGGGTGAGTGAGTGAGTGAGTGAGTGAGCTGAGCTGTGTCATGTTGGAGATGTCCAGCAACCGGAGACGAGGAACCTGCAGTGAGTGAGTGAGTGAGTGAGTGAGTGAGTGAGTGAGTGGGTGGGTGGGTGAGTGAGTGAGTGAGTGAGCTGAGCTGTGTCATGTTGGAGATGTCCAGCATCCGGAGACGAGGAAGCTGCAGTGAGTGAGTGAGTGAGTGAGTGAGTGAGTGAGTGAGTGAGTGAGTGGGTGGGTGAGTGAGTGGGTTGGTGGCTGGGTGAATGAGTGAGTGAGTGAGTGAGTGAGTGAGCTGAGCTGTGTCATGCTGGAGATGTCCAGCATCCGGAAACGAGGAAGCTGCAGTGAGTGAGTGAGTGAGTGAGTGAGTTGTTGGGTGGGTGGGTGAGTGAGTGAGTGAGTGAGTGAGTGAGTGAGTGGGTGGGTGGGTGGGTGGGTGAGTGAGTGAGTGAGTGAGTGAGTGAGTGAGCTGTGATGTTCTCCAGGCAGCCCGAGCTGAGCTGTGTCATGTTGGAGATGTCCAGCATACGGAGACAGGGAAGCTGCAGTGAGTGAGTGAGTGAGTGAGTGAGTGAGTGAGTGAGAGAGTGAGTGAGCTGTGATGTTCTCCAGGCAGCCCGAGCTGAGCTGTGTCATGTTGGAGATGTCCAGCATACGGAGACGGGGAAGCTGCAGTGAGTGAGTGAGTGAGTGAGTGAGTGAGTGAGTGAGTGAGTGAGTGAGTGAGAGAGTTGTGATGTTCTCCAGGCAGCCCGAGCTGAGCTGTGTCATGTTGGAGATGTCCAGCATACGGAGACGGGGAAGCTGCAGTGAGTGAGTGAGTGAGTGAGTGAGCTGTGATGTTCTCCAGGCAGCCCGAGCTGAGCTGTGTCATGTTGGAGATGTCCAGCATACGGAGACAGGGAAGCTGCAGTGAGTGAGTGAGTGAGTGAGTGAGTGAGTGAGTGAGTGAGCTGAGCTGTGTCATGTTGGAGATGTCCAGCATACGGAGACGGGGAAGCTGCAGTGAGTGAGTGAGTGAGTGAGTGAGTGAGTGAGTGAGCTGAGCTGTGTCATGTTGGAGATGTTCAGCATACGGAGACGGGGAAGCTGCAGTGAGTGAGTGAGTGAGTGAGTGAGTGTGTGGGTGGGTGAGTGAGTGAGCTGTGATGTTCTCCAGGCAGCCCGAGCTGAGCTGTGTCATGTTGGAGATGTCCAGCATCCGGAGACGGGGAAGCTGCAGTGAGTGAGTGAGTGAGTGAGTGAGTGAGTAAGTGAGTGAGTGAGATGGTGAGTGGGTGAGTGGGTGAGTGAGCTGTGATGTTCTCCAGGCAGCCCGAGCTGAGCTGTGTCATGTTGGAGATGTCCAGCATCCGGAGACGAGGAAGCTGCAGTGAGTGAGTGAGTGAGTGAGTGAGTTGTTGGGTGGGTGAGTGAGTGAGTGAGTGAGTGAGTGAGTGAGTGAGTGAGTGAGTGAGTGAGTGAGTGAGTGAGTGAGTGAGTGAGTGAGTGGGTGGGTGGGTGGGTGGGTGAGTGAGTGAGTGAGTGAGTGAGTTGCGATGTTCTCCAGGCAGCCCGAGCTGAGCTGTGTCATGTTGGAGATGTCCAGCATCCGGAGACGGGGAAGCTGCAGTGAGTGAGTGAGTGAGTGAGTGAGTGAGCTGCAGTGAGTGAGTGAGTGAGTGAGTGAGTGAGTGAGCTGAGCTGTGTCATGTTGGAGATGTCCAGCATCCGGAGACGGGGAAGCTGCAGTGAGTGAGTGAGTGAGTGGGTGGGTGGGTGAGTGAGTGAGTGAGTGAGTGAGTGAGTTGCGATGTTCTCCAGGCAGCCCGAGCTGAGCTGTGTCATGTTGGAGATGTCCAGCATCCGGAGACGGGGAAGCTGCAGTGAGTGAGTGAGTGAGTGAGTGAGTGAGTGAGTGAGTGAGCTGCAGTGAGTGAGTGAGTGAGTGAGTGAGTGAGTGAGTGAGTGAGCTGAGCTGTGTCATGTTGGAGATGTCCAGCATCCGGAGACGGGGAAGCTGCAGTGAGTGAGTGAGTGAGTGAGTGAGTGAGTGGGTGGGTGGGTGGGTGGGTGAGTGGGTGAGTGAGTGAGTGAGTGAGTGAGTGATAACTGACAGAATTAAAGCACCTGTCATGATTTCATCCACTTTTGATAGGGCATTCTTCTGATGATGCAAGTACCAAATTGGAAAAGATCTTAAGGACATTTTGAATAACAGGCAGTGTCCTAGAAAATGAAGCGGTCTGAACCCTGCTACCCGTGGACATCCAGGAAAGTATATCAAGAGTTTCAAGGTTGGGCGATCACACTACCTGCCATTCCAAGAAATACAAATGTCCCTTGCACTCCAGCATGCAAGAAATACATTACCTTGGCCAGCTGTTGCAGCCCGTCGTCTGTGAGGCTGCAGGCCAGGAGGTGGAGGTATTCCAGTAGTGGACACCCAGCGACCAGCGCCTTCACACTCACGTCCTTCACCTGCAACACCAGCACTGAGTTACCAGGGCAACATTAACCAACACCTAGCGACCAGCGCCTTCACACTCACGTCCTTCACCTACAACACCAGCACTGAGTTACCAGAGCAACATTAACCAACACCTAGCGACCAGCGCCTTCACACTCACGTCCTTCACCTGCAACACCAGCACTGAGTTACCAGGGCAACATTAACCAACACCTAGCGACCAGCGCCTTCACACTCACGTCCTTCACCTGCAACACCAGCACTGAGTTACCAGGGCAACATTAACCAACACCTAGCGACCAGCGCCTTCACACTCACGTCCTTCACCTGCAACACCAGCACTGAGTTACCAGGGCAACATTAACAGACACCTAGCGACCAGCGCCTTCACACTCACATCCTTCACCTGCAACACCAGCACTGAGTTACCAGGGCAACATTAACAGACATCCAGCGACCAGCGCCTTCACACTCACGTCCTTCACCTGCAACACCAGCACTGAGTTACCAGGGCAACATTAACAGACATCCAGCGACCAGCGCCTTCACACTCACATCCTTCACCTACAACACCAGCACTGAGTTACCAGGGCAACATTAACCAACACCTAGCGACCAGCGCCTTCACACTCACGTCCTTCACCTGCAACACCAGCACTGAGTTACCAGGGCAACATTAACCAACATCTAGCGACCAGCGCCTTCACACTCACGTCCTTCACCTGCAATACCAGCACTGAGTTACCAGGGCAACATTAACCAACACCTAGCGACCAGCGCCTTCACACTCACGTCCTTCACCTGCAACACCAGCACTGAGTTACCAGGGCAACATACATCCAGCGACCAGCGCCTTCACACTCACGTCCTTCACCTGCAACACCAGCACTGAGTTACCAGGGCAACATTAACCAACACCTAGCGACCAGCGCCTTCACACTCACGTCCTTCACCTGCAACACCAGCACTGAGTTACCAGAGCAACATTAACCAACACCTAGCGACCAGCGCCTTCACACTCACGTCCTTCACCTGCAACACCAGCACTGAGTTACCAGGGCAACATTAACCAACACCTAGCGACCAGCGCCTTCACACTCACGTCCTTCACCTACAACACCAGCACTGAGTTACCAGAGCAACATTAACCAACACCTAGCGACCAGCGCCTTCACACTCACGTCCTTCACCTGCAACACCAGCACTGAGTTACCAGGGCAACATTAACCAACACCTAGCGACCAGCGCCTTCACACTCACGTCCTTCACCTGCAACACCAGCACTGAGTTACCAGGGCAACATACATCCAGCGACCAGCGCCTTCACACTCACGTCCTTCACCTGCAACACCAGCACTGAGTTACCAGGGCAACATTAACCAACACCTAGCGACCAGCGCCTTCACACTCACGTCCTTCACCTACAACACCAGCACTGAGTTACCAGGGCAACATTAACCAACACCTAGCGACCAGCGCCTTCACACTCACTTCCTTCACCTGCAACACCAGCACTGAGTTACCAGGGCAACATCAACCAACACCTAGCGACCAGCGCCTTCACACTCACGTCCTTCACCTACAACACCAGCACTGAGTTACCAGGGCAACATTAACCAACACCTAGCGACCAGCGCCTTCACACTCATGTCCTTCACCTGCAACACCAGCACTGAGTTACCAGGGCAACATTAACCAACATCCAGCGACCAGCGCCTTCACACTCACGTCCTTCACCTGCAACACCAGCACTGAGTTACCAGGGCAACATTAACCAACACCTAGCGACCAGCGCCTTCACACTCACGTCCTTCACCTGCAACACCAGCACTGAGTTACCAGGGCAACATTAACCAACACCTAGCGACCAGCGCCTTCACACTCACGTCCTTCACCTGCAACACCAGCACTGAGTTACCAGGGCAACATTAACCAACACCTAGCGACCAGCGCCTTCACACTCACGTCCTTCACCTGCAACACCAGCACTGAGTTACCAGGGCAACATTAACCAACACCTAGCGACCAGCGCCTTCACACTCACGTCCTTCACCTGCAACACCAGCACTGAGTTACCAGGGCAACATTAACCAACATCCAGAGACCAGCGCCTTCACACTCACGTCCTTCACCTGCAACACCAGCACTGAGTTACCATGGCAACATTAACCAACACCTAGCGACCAGCGCCTTCACACTCACGTCCTTCACCTGCAACACCAGCACTGAGTTACCAGGGCAACATTAACCAACACCTAGCGACCGGCGCCTTCACACTCACGTCCTTCACCTGCAACACCAGCACTGGGGTTATAGTCTTGTCTCGCCTTGACATACTGTTCTATACAGAGTTGTCAGGGTAATAGTCTCACCTTGACACACTGGTCGTTACAGAGTTGTTGGGGTAATAGTCTCACCTTGACATACTGGTCGATACGGAGTTGTCGGGATAATAGTCTCATGTCACCATGACATACTGGTCGATACAGAGTTGTCAGGGTAATAGTCTCACCTTGACATACTGGTCGTTACAGAGTTGTTGGGGTAATAGTCTCACCTTGACATACTGGTCGATACGGAGTTGTCGGGATAATAGTCTCACCTTGACACACTGGTCTATACAGAGTTGTCAGGGTTATAGTCTCACCTTGACACACTGGTCTATACGGAGTTGTCGGGGTAATAGTCTCACCTTGACACACTGGTCTATACGGAGTTGTCGGGGTAATAGTCTCACCTTGACACACTGGTCTATACGGAGTTGTCGGGGTAATAGTCTCACCTTGACACACTGGTCTATACGGAGTTGTCGGAGTAATAGTCTCACCTTGACACACTGGTCCATACAGAGTTGTCAGGGTAATAGTCTCACCTTGACACACTGGTCTATACGGAGTTGTCGGGGTAATAGTCTCACCTTGACACACTGGTCTATACGGAGTTGTCAGGGTAATAGTCTCACCTTGACACACTGGTCTATGCGGAGTTGTCAGGGTAATAGTCTCACCTTGACACACTGGTCTATACGGAGTTGTCGGGGTAATAGTCTGACCTTGACACACTGGTCTATACGGAGTTGTCGGGGTAATAGTCTCACCTTGACACACTGGTCTATACGGAGTTGTCAGTGTAATAGTCTCACCTTGACACACTGGTCTATACAGAGTTGTCAGGGTAATAGTCTCACCTTGACACACTGGTCTATACAGAGTTGTCAGGGTAATAGTCTCACCTTGACACACTGGTCGATACGGAGTTGTCGGGATAATAGTCTCACCTTGACACACTGGTCTATACGGAGTTGTCAGGGTAATAGTCTCACCTTGACATACTGGTCGATACAGAGTTGTCAGGGTAATAGTCTCACCTTGACACACTGGTCGATACGGAGTTGTCGGGATAATAGTCTCACCTGGACACACTGGTCCATACGGAGTTGTCGGGGTAATAGTCTCACCTTGACACACTGGTCGATACAGAGTTGTCAGGGTAATAGTCTCACCTTGACACACTGGTCTATACGGAGTTGTCAGGGTAATAGTCTCACCTTGACACACTGGTCTATACGGAGTTGTCAGGGTAATAGTCTCACCTTGACACACTGGTCGATACGGAGTTGCCGGAGGCGGGGACAGCCATTGGCTACAGCCAGCATCCCCTCGTCAGAAATCCTGTTGCACTGACTCATGAACAGGTGCTCCAGCTGGGGACAGCCATTGCCAATCTGCAAATCACAAACAGAGCAATAAGGATAACACATCATAACACACCTTAGACTGGCATTCTAGAAGTTGGTGAATTAAAAAACTCCAGTTAGACAACTATGTAAGAAACTACACTGAAACTAAAGGTCAGCCGTACGACCGGTATATCAGGAAATTGAGGTTCATTTATTCCACGATACGTATCATAATATCATTTCATAATGATACGATAGCTGTGTGATAGCTGTCTGTAAATAATGGAGTTTGGACCAGACAATCAAGTGACTGAAATCATGCGCATTGATCTATGCAATGGGGATACAATGACAAGCATCAACCAAGTCATGGAACTTGACCAACTTACGACAAGCATAGGTTGCAGGGACCTATTGTCTCTCCTGGAATCCCACCGACTGCATCCTTTCCGGTAGATTCTGGACAATATAAGCAACATTTCTCTTGACTCTGGCTTGACTAATGGTTAGTGTCACAAGCTGTTTAGGGCACCAGACATACTGTACTCACCGCAACGATGGACTTGTCAGAGATGGAGAAACAGCCGTCGAGGTTGAGGTGGCGGACGAGGTGACAGAACTTGCCAACGGACTCAAACACATCGTCAGAAAATACAAAGTACCTGGGATCACGAAACATCAATTAGATGTAATCTCATCACGAAGTACCCTACACTAATCAACATCTATTAGAAAAGTATCTATAGCATGCCCCTCCCACCCACAAAGTCTCACCTGGCTAACTTGAGTGTCCTGATATGGCGACACTTCAACTGTATCTATAGCATGCCCCTCCCACCCACAAAGTCTCACCTAGCTAACTTGAGTGTCCTGATATGGCGACACTGTATCTATAGCATGCCCCTCCCACCCACAAAGTCTCACCTAGCTAACTTGAGTGTCCTGATATGGCGACACTTCAACTTTATCTATAGCATGCCCCTCCCACCCACAAAGTCTCACCTGGCTAACTTGAGTGTCCTGATACAGCGACACTTCAACTGTATCTATAGCATGCCCCTCCCACCCACAAAGTCTCACCTAGCTAACTTGAGTGTCCTGATATGGCGACACTTCAACTGTATCTATAGCATGCCCCTCCCACCCACAAAGTCTCACCTGGCTAACTTGAGTGTCCTGATATGGCGACACTTCAACTGTATCTATAGCATGCCCCTCCCACCCACAAAGTCTCACCTAGCTAACTTGAGTGTCCTGATATGGCGACACTTCAACTGTATCTATAGCATGCCCCTCCCACCCACAAAGTCTCACCTAGCTAACTTGAGTGTCCTGATACACCGACACTTCAACTGTATCTATAGCATGCCCCTCCCACCCACAAAGTCTCACCTAGCTAACTTGAGTGTCCCGATACAGCGACACTTCAACTGTATCTATAGCATGCCCCTCCCACCCACAAAGTCTCACCTGGCTAACTTGAGTGTCCTGATATGGCGACACTTCAACTGTATCTATAGCATGCCCCTCCCACCACCAAAGTCTCACCTAGCTAACTTGAGTGTCCTGATACAGCGACACTTCAACTGTATCTATAGCATGCCCCTCCCACCCACAAAGTCTCACCTAGCTAACTTGAGTGTCCTGATACAGCGACACTTCAACTGTATCTATAGCATGCCCCTCCCACCCACGAAGTTTCACCTAGCTAACTTGAGTGTCCTGATACACCGACACTTCAACTGTATCTATAGCATGCCCCTCCCACTCACAAAGTCTCACCTAGCTAACTTGAGTGTCCTGATACAGCGACACTTCAACTGTATCTATAGCATGCCCCTCCCACCCACAAAGTCTCACCTAGCTAACTTGAGTGTCCTGATACAGCGACACTTCAACTGTATCTATAGCATGCCCCTCCCACCCACGAAGTTTCACCTAGCTAACTTGAGTGTCCTGATATGGCGACACTTCAACTGTATCTATAGCATGCCCCTCCCACCCACAAAGTCTCACCTGGCTAACTTGAGTGTCCTGATACAGCGACACTTCAACTGTATCTATAGCATGCCCCTCCCACTCACAAAGTCTCACCTAGCTAACTTGAGTGTCCTGATATGGCGACACTTCAACTGTATCTATAGCATGCCCCTCCCACCCACAAAGTCTCACCTAGCTAACTTGAGTGTCCTGATATGGCGACACTTCAACTGTATCTATAGCATGCCCCTCCCACCACCAAAGTCTCACCTAGCTAACTTGAGTGTCCTGATATGGCGACACTTCAACTGTATCTATAGCATGCCCCTCCCACCCACAAAGTCTCACCTAGCTAACTTGAGTGTCCTGATACACCGACACTTCAACTGTATCTATAGCATGCCCCTCCCACCCACAAAGTCTCACCTGGCTAACTTGAGTGTCCTGATATGGCGACACTTCAACTGTATCTATAGCATGCCCCTCCCACCCACAAAGTCTCACCTAGCTAACTTGAGTGTCCTGATATGGCGACACTTCAACTGTATCTATAGCATGCCCCTCCCACCCACAAAGTCTCACCTAGCTAACTTGAGTGTCCTGATACACCGACACTTCAACTGTATCTATAGCATGCCCCTCCCACCCACAAAGTCTCACCTAGCTAACTTGAGTGTCCTGATATGGCGACACTTCTGAAGGATCTGCATAACACCCTCGTCTGTGAACGTTGTAAGTTTGCTGTCACTCACGTCCAGGGTCAACACGCGGTCACTCAGGGAGGTTAACCAGTTCAAGATACTGTCTGTAACCCTTGACGACACTGGTAGATAGATATGTCGCCATAGAGATGGATCATGCGCTGCCTGGTGCCACAGTTTACAGACGCGACACACGCGACACAACAAGTCGGGCATGGAGAGGTATTGGAATATGTTCACAACTAGAGACAGGGGCAGAATCTGGCTGGCATCTTCATCACTGTCGCCATGGAAACATGATACCTGTGTTTGCATGGCAACAGCATAGTCTGTGTAAGCTCTGCTTGTGGAAGGAATACATACAGTACTGGATGAAATATGTGATGCTGTGTTCTTGTTGCCATAGTTACAGTTCATGTTGGAATCCCCTGCCCCTCCTCTGTCCAACAAGCGACTGAAGCTGGACAAATGTTGGGTGTCATCCTCGTAACTCTTGCGAGGACTTGTCTTCATGGTCGGCTCACTCTTCTGCTTCCGCTGGATACATGGGGGACTTGCAGAGACGGATTTATTTAATAAATTGCTGTTTTCACTCTGAGCTAAAGCATAGATTCCAGACCGACCAATCTTCACAGGGTCCTGTCCTGTGTGTTGAGGTCGACCTTCCCCTTCATTCTCGTTGTCACTGGAGCTCCTCCTCCGCGACGGCCCCGAGCCCCGTCGCATCTTCTTACACGGACACGTCTCGCACGGTACAGCGTCCATGTCCCCCCCAAGTGTGCAGGTGTCACATCTCACGCCCCCCACGGGGATGCCCTGGGACGGCCCAGCTTCTTCGTCAGCCACATCCATGCAGGTGTCTGTGTCCAGTCTTCTCCCGCCTCGCTCACCGCTGTCCATTCACCTGTGTTGAGTCTTCCCCTCCTCGCTCACCGCTGTCCATTCACCTGTGTCGAGTCTTCCCCTCCTCGCTCACCGCTGTCCATTCACCAGTGTCGAGTCTTCCCCTCCTCGCTCACTGCTGTCCATTCACCTGTGTCCAGTCTTCTCACTCACCGCTGTCCATTCACCTGTGTCAGCTGAAGAAAGGATTCTTATTATATTACCATAAATATTTTATTTCAAGAATCAAATCAGAGACAACTTTCCCATTTAAAGTAGTGAAAGGATACAGCGATACAGTATTCTAACCCAAAACAAGGTCCATGATACCATACACCAATAAACAATCATAGACCAAACATGAGACTAGAAGTTATACCATATTCGACGTAATAAGCGCCCAGGGTGCTCTCAAAATTAGAAGTAGGGGGCTCTTATTAGAATATAATTTTGGTGAGAAAAAAAAAACAGTTGAAAGATCGTATATTTTGTAGTTTATGCTGACAGCCTGAAATGATACAAAAAAAGATATATTTTTCCAGAATTCAATTGTCCATAATTAAGGGTGCATATAACACACCAGTGCGTATTATACACAAATAAATAAGTCTTGTGTACTTTGATCAATTGGAAGGGGTGCTAATTGGGATTGTATACTAGCCAATATATTAGCAAATATCGCCATGGGCGCATATTAGAGTGGGTAGCTTTTAACGTCAAATACAGTCTTGGTTTTAAGCATATATATAATAATAGATTAGTCAGTTGCTGGAATCTGATTTAAAAAAGAAGGTAAAATGGGATAGGAAGCCTACAAGTGTTCTACCACTGACAAGTTATCTCCTTTCTTTGATGTCATTTATGCCATCTTTGCGAAACTGTGAACAAATGGACTCGTTTTGTGCAATGAAATTTGAGTTGAATTATGTTATGCCATTGTAAATCGACGGACTGTGTGACTGTTTAACATTTCAACTTAATGGTTCCTATTTCAAACTTCTCCCTGATAGATTCAAATATCTGCCTCATACTTAAGGCCTAATGTCCCTGACACAGTCCGACAGTTTATCACATGTATGGGATTACGATTTATGTATTTTATGCCTGAATTGTTATTGCTGTATATTCGGAATCGGAAATCTAGCTGGAAAACACTGTTTTGTAGCACTGCTGACAAGTCAAAATCAAAATGGTTTATAGAGCGTCACAGAGATACCACAGGCAGACAGACCCTCAGCGTTAGAAACTGGCACTAGTCCTTGCCAATAATTAAGGTATCATAAGGAAAAGTAGAGATTTGCCTTAATTAAGGGGTTTGCTATGTGATATCATTATAAGGACTAGTGGACTAAAACAGTTAGTTTCTATCACTGGACCCTATGGTGGTGGGATGCATGATCTGCTTGTGGTGTGTACATATTTCAGCGGTAATTTGTAAATCACAAACATGTGCAACATTGCTTGTGTTTCCTGTTTGACATCGACAAATGACGTTCCAACTGTTCCTCGTGCCATTGCAGAGATATAATATTATGCCAGCAGAGCGGACAAACCACATTGGAATTAACACAAGCGAGACGTGCAGACCATCACTTCCGGTGATAATCTGGATGCATATGAGAATACTATAACACATTTACGCACCTTGCCGTACATGTGGATAGAATTGCCAGTATCAATTCAACTCCATTTCTTAACTGACATCGTGCAGTTACGCCAATGGAACTTTAAATCATTCCGGCAATGACGGCCACCTCGATCTTCCCTTCGTGAAGAATTACCTGTGTGTATACGTCATCAGTTCTTGCGTAGGAAATATATACAATACGAACTAAGTTGAAACGAACCTGAGCAAGTTTAAACGTTGTAAATGTGGTACATTTAGACAACACAATTTGATGGTATTGGTATATTTTTAACATAAGTCGAATCAGCTAAAAATGATAGAACAGCTATTATTCCAGCGAAATATATTTCTGACGTTGGCCCAACGTTCAAGCGCTTCCCAGCGCGTGACTCTTCGTTTCACTGTCACGCAGAGATATTGGAGCAGCGGCCATGCAAATTAAAAGAGGCTCATTTACGGAGTAACCCCTCCCCACAGCAAAAAAAAACCACAACAATTTTCTTCACAATATATCATTTATGCATTAGAAAACGATGCTTGTGGTTTCTGTTGGTGGCAGACATGTGTTTTGGTGGTAATTTTAAAAAGCACATTTTGTGTGTCAATTTTCAATATATAAAATAAATGGCTCTAAAAAAATCAGTTTGCATATTGCAATGCACATTTTATAAATGAAACCAGTGTGCTGACTTAGGAAACCTGCAATAGATCAAATAAACATTTACCAAAATTGTTTAAGTCGAGTTATGGGCCAAAATGTGTTAAAACCAAGAAGAAATCACTCATTTTTACTTTTCAAATTATTGCAAAACAAAATATCTAAAAATCTGCCTGAATGCTTTTGGAACCTGCAAAATCCAAACTTAATGTAGGTAATATAATGTTTGAAAATTTAGTAAATATGATCTCACCCACCCCATCCTGTTAAGAAAACAACAAATATATTATTTCATATTTAAGGGGCGGTCGGGTAGCCTAGTGGTTAAAGCGTTTCGCTCGTCACGCCGAAGACCCGGGCTCGATTCCTGACATGGGTACAATGTGTGAAGCCTATTTCTGGTGTCCCCCGCTGTGATATTGCTGGAATATTGCAAAAAGCGGCGTAAAACCATATTCACTCACTATTACATATTTTTAAAAAAAATACTATGACAAAACTAATATTCATGTACACCAAACTGTTTTGTTTGAACAGATTAATCGTTTAAGTATCTCACTTATATGAGCTAGAGAAATTTGATTTATCCAATATGGCGGACAAAATGGCCTCAAAGATGGCCGCCAATACAGGAACTGACAATATTTCGTCTCCACTTCGGAATCCAGAGACATTTAAATTACAAAATTTAGGTTTCGATCAGGAACTCCATCTATCGTGTTATTGTCATATATAAGATGATCATCGCCTGTGTTAGGTACTGTAATTGCTGATCATATTAGCTTTGTGAAGTGTCAATGTGAAACACTAATATGCAATTGCTTCAATATTTTCAGTAACTCAGATCCAGTACGTTTCTAGTAGGGGGCATGGCAGGCCCAGTCGTCTAAGGCGCCGCGATTCGCGGTGCAGAGTTGCGTCCCTTGGGCACGCCAGAAACCTATGATTGTGGGTTCGAATCCCGGTTCACCCCGATTATGTTTCTAGGTTTGTCAGCACCATACCCGTGCTCGTGGGTTTCACCGAATTGGTAAACGTCTGTCTAAGGCGCCGCGATTCGCGGTGCAGAGTTGCGTCCCTTGGGCACGCCAGAAACCTATGATTGTGGGTTCGAATCCCGGTTCACCCCGATTATGTTTCTAGGTTTGTCAGCACCATACCCGTGCTCGTGGGTTTCACCGAATTGGTAAACGTCTGTGACCTGCATCACTTCGGGCTTTCCTCCCACATTAAGCTGACACGCCGCGATATGACTGGAATACTGTTAAAAGCGGCGTTACACCCAACTCACTCACTCACTCACTCACTCAAATTGTGAGTGGCATGTGTTACCGGTAGGGCATGTTTACCATTTCACAGATTTTCACTGATTTATTCAAATAATGTTCACGGTTTTTCTGTTGTTGCGCCCAATGGGATCTGTATTGGAGGATAATCGCGACTGGTTGGTCTCTGGTGTTGATGTTTTATAACTTTTTAAACAAAAGTTGTTCTGTTATCTGCAGCAATACTGAATATTAAGGGTCGTGTCTATAAGATGTTCCCCCATTTATAGACTGTAATAATGTGTGATGGTATAAAATAGGTTTTAAACATACTCAGCTGTAAACATGCTTTGGATTTATGTCGCTAAACATCTTCCCGAAGCAAGTGAGTTAACTGACTATGAAAGTCCAGTTTCCACCCTTGCCGAACTAGGCTGGTATTATGGAGTTAGATTTTGGCTGGACTAACGAGTCCAATCAAAATCGCGCACCGAAATCGAAATCCGGTGTCATGCAGATTTCGATCGACTGCAGGATTTGCAAAGCATGTGCACCGCTAACTCGTTGTCAACAGATATTTTCTAAAACTTTTCATGTTTTTAATCAAGGTGCTCACGTGATTTGATGCTTTTCGCGATGTAAGACTCGTTTAATCACAATATAGATCTTGATTATCGATCAGATCGTCTTGACTGCGCGCCACCGTTTTGTGTGAAACAAATGCAAGTGAAACGAGAGGTTGAATCTGATTGGACAATAGGAGAGGCATAGAAAGGACATATCTCGTAATAGCCACTGGTGGCGCTACGATCGAGCCCAGGAATTCCAGCCTAGTTCGGCAAGGGTGGAAACTGGACCTACAAAGTCAATTAACTCTCTTGCCTCGGGAAGATGGTCGCTAAAAGGCACAAAGTCTTTGTCTGTTTTAACTCTACACGTTAATGACATGTAACTCATGTCAGGGGCTCAATATTTCCAAATATCAACATGCTTCGAACTTAACATGTTCATGAAAACTGTGGAATATAGAATATAGTTATCGGTTTCATTCATTAGTTACCCCTCCCGCTCGTGAGTCAACACGAGGTACGTTTACATATATCTACTGTCGTAACAATCGTTATCACAGGAGTCAAGACGAGTCAGAGTGAGTGAGTTGGGTTTAACGCCGCTTTTAACAACATTCCAGTTATATCGCGGCGTGTCAGCTTAATCAGCTTACTGTGGGAGGAAAGATAGAGGTGACGCAGGTCTCAGACGTTTACCACTTCGGTGAAACCCACGAGCACGGGTATGGTGCTGACAAACCTAGAAACATAATCAGGACGAGTCAGAAGAAAAATGTCAACCGTTGTGCGATGTCCAACCGAAACACATTTAGACATTAAATACTTGATTATCTGAATATTTCATCTTTGCTTTGATAAATACAACAGCAAGCAAGAGTCCGGGGGGGGGGGGGGGGGGGGGGGGGGGGTAAGACAGAGATCATATTAGATTGTTATTAAATATTAGAGATAATGATATGGATAAGATCTTATGAAAAACTATTGAACTGGTATCACTTATCGTTGCACTGCCTGGGACCCAAGCTTCAATAGCGTTATTGCACCGAGCTCAGATAATCGAGACTGGGTATTCTCTGTAATTTATTTGTGAGTGAATCGTGAAAGGCAGTTGCACGCTGGTAATTTCGATCTGAGTTGGGTTTTTACGTCGCTTTTAACAGCATTCCAGTTATAGCTTAATGTGGGAGGAAAGCCTGAAGTGATGCAGGTCTCAGGCGTTTACCACTTCGGTGAAACCCACGAGCACGGGTATGGTGCTGACAAACCTAGAAACATAATCAGGGCGAACCGGGATTCGAACCCACAATCATAGGTTTCTGGAGTGCCCAAAGGGACGCAACTCTGCACAGCGAATCGCGGCGCCTTAGACGACTGGGCCACCCACTCACAATTTGCAGGAATGAATGAATGAGTATGGTTTTACGCCGCTTTTAGCAATATTCCAGCAATATCAATTGCATGAACAGTAAGCGTTGTATATTGCCTTCCATGCGACTGTTGTCTTTAAAGAAACCAGAGAATCAAGTTGTTGTTGGTTTGTTGTTTTACGCCGCACTCAGCAATATTCCAGCTATATGACGGCGGTCTGTAAATAATCGAGTCTGGACCAGACAATCCAGTAATCGATATCATGAGCATCGATTCATGCATTTGGGATCGATGACGTGCATCAACCAAGTCAGCGAGCCTGACCACCCGATCCCGTTAGTCGCCTTTTACGACAAGCATAGTCGCCTTTTACGGCAAGCATGGGTTGCTGAAGACCTATTCCACCCCGGAATCTTCACGGGTGAGGGAATCAAGCAATGGATCAGACAGAAAATCCAGTGACACGATAGTGCATTTACTGCTTTTTGTGGAAACTAAAAACCGATATGTTAATTTTGAATTACATCTGCCGTGTACAAGTGTGTTTAGAACGCAGCATGGCTACAATGGCTACATGGCTACATGGCTACATGGCTACAATGGCTACAATGGCTACATGGCTGCAATAGCTACATGGCTAACATGGCCACAATGACTACATAGCTACATGGCTACATGGCTACAATGGCTACATGCCTACATGGCTACATGGCTACAATGGCTACATGGCTACAATGACTACATGGCTACATGGCTACAATGGTTACATGGCTACAATGGCCACATGGCTACATGGCTACAATGGCTACATGGCTACATGGCTACAATGACTACATGGCTACATGGCTATATGACTACATGGCTACATGGCTACATGACTACAATGACTACAATGGCTACATGGCTACAATGGCTACATGGCTACATGGCTACAATGGCTACATGGCTACATGGCTACAATGGCTACAATGGCTACATGGCTACATGGCTACATGGCTACAATGGCTACATGGCTACAATGGCTACAATGGCTACATGGCTACATGGCTTCATGGCTACATGGCTACAATGGCTACATGGCTACATGGCTACAATGGCTACATGGCTACATGGCTACAATGGCTACAATGACTACATGGCTACAATGACTACATGGCTACATGGCTACAATGGCTACATGGCTACATGGCTACATGGCTACATGGCTACATGACTACAATGACTACAATGGCTACATGGCTACAATGGCTACATGGCTACATGGCTACAATGGCTACATGGCTACATGGCTACAATGGCTACAATGGCTACATGGCT